GGGGGGGAGAGAGAGAGGGGGAGAGAGAGAGAGAGAGAGAGAGAGAGAGAGAGAGAGAGAGAGAGAGAGCCAGCCTTGCTGTTCCTGGTATAGAGGGAGGAAAGTGTAATCAGCACTGGAACACATGCCCAAGTATCCCGGCCAAGCCAAAGCAAATTAAAACAATTAAGTCAAACATAGCATGTCTCTATTTTCCCTTCCAGCAAATGCAACCTCACAGATGCCATTATTGCACTGAAATTTACAAGTGACAAGATGTTTTTAATTCCTTTGTATATAGGGACTGTTCTAAGCACTTCCCAGGTCACCCTCAGGACTCACCAATACAGAAGAAAGCGAGTGAGGCTAGAGACATGGCTCTGCAGCCCAGTCCTGAGCTGTGTGGCCAAGTAGGGAAGTTGTAGATGCCTGGAACATAGGAACAGGATGCACTGAGGGTGAACAACTCCACTCCTCCCTGCTTCTACCAACCCCAGCTTTCCTAATTGAGAGTCATCAAGACAGGGCCATCTCTCAGTAGGATGACTTGCACACAGCTTTTAAAGCCATCACTTATCTCTTCTTACCAGCTGTATGTCAGCCATCCGACTGCCTGTAGGGGCATAAACTGTGTCCTAGACTCCCATAAAATCCATAACGGTTATTAGGGAAAAGCTAGTACAGACTTCCAGGTCCGAAGGTCATCCAGTTCAACAAATTCCAAAAGACAGTGCATGTGTCCAGAAATAAGCACCTTGACCCAGCTTAAGCAATACTATAGAAGAATTTCTGGTAGTTAGATAAAAGTCAGCATTCCACAAGAATTTCTGAAACAGTTCCAGATATCTAGAAGTCATCTTCCCCCCTACCCCCCTCCCTCATTTGGTCCTTTTGGCTGGGGCAAACACCTAGCTGATCTGCTCCTGTGAAGACACCATATCCTGAGACATCCTAGAGCAGCAGGTAAGAACCCTCCTCCACAACTCTAAGCCCCAGAGCTGCAACTGGGACCCTGGAGCACTCAGGACCCATCACCCACCCAAACACTGCCCCCTCTGGAATACAACTCTCCTTTAGCCACTTGCTTGGTCCTTTTGGCTGGGGCAGACACCTAGCAGGTCTGTTCCTGTCAAGACATGATATCCTGAGCCATCCTAGAGGAACCACTGCATTCAGAGCAGAGGAGAAACCATTGCACTCAGAGCAGCAGGATTTCAGGATCACAGAGGTAGTCTGAGTCCGAGGAGCTCTACTGCTCAGAAGCTCAGAATCACAGAGACATCTGGAATCTGAGGAGTTCTTACACAAGCAAGATAACTGGAAAGACAGGCTCCACTCAGAGACAGTGAGTGCAGGCAGCACTAGAGATAACCAGATGGAGAAAGGAAAGCACAAGAAATTAAGCAACAGAAACCAGTGTTACCTGGCATCATCAGAACCCAGTTCTCCGACCATAGCAAGTCCTGGACACCCCATCACACAGGAAAAGAGGGTTCAGAATTAAAATCACTTCCCATGAGGAAGATAGAGAACTTTAAGAAGGTCATAAACAACTCCCTTAAAGAAGTACAAAAGAACACAGGTAAACATGTTTAAGCTCTTAAAGAGGAAACACAAAAATCCCTTAAAGACTTACAAGAAAACACAACCAAACAGGTCAAGGAATTGAACAAAGCCATCCAGGATCTAAAAATGGAAGTAGAAACAATAAAGAAATCACAAAGAAAGACTACCCTGGGGATAAAAAATCAAGGAAAGAGATCAGGAGTCATAGATGGCAAGCATGACCAACAGAATACAAGAGATAGAAAAGAGAATCTCAGGTGCAGAAGATACCATAGAAAACATTGACACACCTGTCAAAGATAATGCAAAATGCAAAAAGCTCCTAACCCAAAACATCCAGGAAATCCAGGACACAATAAGAAGACCAAACCTAAGGATAATAGGTATAGATGAGAGTGAAGATTCCAAAATTAAAGGGCCACTAAATATCTTCAACAAAACTATAAAGAAAAACTTTCCTAACCTAAAGAAAGAGATGCCCATGAACATACAAGAAGCCTACAGAACTCCAAATAGACTAGACCAAAAAGAAATTCCTCCCAGCACATAATAATCAAAACAGCGAATGCACAAAACAAAGAAAAAATACTAAAAGCAGTAAGGGAAAAAGGTCAAGTAACATATAAAGGCAGACCTATAAGAATTACACCAGACTTCTCACCAGAGACTATAAAAGCCAGAAGATCCTGGACTGATATCATACAGACCCTAAGAGAACACAAATTCCAGCCCAGACTACCATACCCAGCAAAACTCTCAATCACTATAGATGGAGAAACCAAGATATTCCATGACAAAAACGAAATTTATACAATATCTTCCCACAACTCCAGCCCTACAAAGGATAATAGATGGAAAACTCCAACACAAGGAGGGAAACTATAACCTAGAAAAAGCAAGAAAGTAAACTTCCAATAAAACCAAAGGAAGATAACTACATAAACATAATTCCAGTTCTAATAACAAAAATAACAGGAACCAACAATCACTTTTCCTTAATATTTCTTAACATCAATTGACTGAATTTCCCAATAAAAAGACATAGAGTAACAGACTGGATACCTAAACTGGACCCAGAATTTAGCTGCATATGGGAAATGCACCTCAGCAACAAAGACAGACACTACCTCAGAGTAAAAGGATGAAAAACAATTTTCCAAGCAAATGGTCCCAGGAAACAAGTTGAAAAAGCCATTCTAATATCGAATAAAATAGACTTTCAACCAAAAGATATCAAAAAAGATAAGGAAAGACACTTCATACTTATCAAAGGAAAAATCAACCAAGATTAACTCTCAATTCTGAACATCTACGCTCCAAATGCAAGGGGCAACCACAGTCATAAAAGAAACTTTACTAAAGCTCAAAGCATACATTGCACCTCACATAATACTAGTGTGGGATTTCAATACCCAACTCTCAGTAATGGACAGACCATGGAAACACAAACGAAACAGAGACACAGTGAAATTAACAGAAGTTATGAACCAAATGGATTTAACAGATATCTATAAAACATTTCACCCTAAAACCAAAGAATATACCTTTTTCTCAGCACCTCATGGTACCTTCTCCAAAATAGACCATATAATTGGTCACAAAGCAGCCTTCAACAAATACAAAAAGATTGAAATAATCCCTTGCATCCTATCAGATCACCACAAACTAAGGCTAGTCTTTAATAATGACAAAACCAATGGAAAACCCACATGGACATGGAAACTGAACAATGCTCTACTCAGTGATGACTTGGTCAAGGAAGAAATAAAGAAAGAAATTAAAGACTTTTTAGAATTCAATGAAAATGAAGGCTTGTCATACTAAAACTTATGGGACACAATGAAAGCAGTGCTAAGGGGAAAACTCATAGCTCTAAGTGTCTACAAAAAGAAACTGGAGAGGGCATACACTAATAACACACCTGAAAGCTCTAGAAGAAAAAGAAACAAATACACTCAAGAGGGGTAGATGGCAGAAAATAATCAAACTCAGGGCTAAAAACAACCAAGTAGAAACAAAAAGAACTATACAGAGTATAAACAAAACCAGGAACTGGTTCTTTGAGAAAATCAACAAGATACATAAACCCATAGCCAAACTAACCAGAGGGCACAGAGAGAGTATCCAAATTAATAAAATTAGAACTGAAAAGGGAGACATAACGATAGAAACTGAGGAAATTTAAAAAATCATCAGAGCCTATTACAAAGGCCTACATTCAACAAAACTGGAAAATCTGGATGAAATGGACAATTTTCTAGACAGATACCAGGTAACAAAGTTAAATCAGGAGCAAATAAACCATCTAAACAGTCCCATAACCACTAAAGAAATAGCAGCAGTCATTAACAGTCTCCCCACCAAAAAAAAATCCCAGGATGAGATGGTTTTAGTGCAGAATTTTATCAAACCTTGAAAGAAGACCTAATACCAATTCTCTTCAAACTATTCCACAAAATAGAAACAGAAGGAACATTACCCAATTTGTTCTATGAAGCCACAACTATGCTCATACCTAAATCATACAAAGACACAGCAAAGAAAAAAATTTCAGACCAATATCCCTTATGAATATTGATGCAAAAATACACAATAAAATTCTTGCAAACCAAATCCAAGAGCATATCAAAACAATCATCCATCATGATCAAGTAGGCTTTATCCCAGGAATGCAGGGGTGGTTTAATATTTGGAAATTCATCAATGTAATCCACTATATAAACAAATGCAAAGAAAAAAAACCATCTGATCGTCACACTAGATGCTCAGAAAGCATTTGACAAAATTCAACATCCCTTCATGGTAAAAGTGTCGGAAAGATCAGGAATTCAAGGCTCATACCTAAACATAGTAAAAGCAATATGCAAAAAGCCAGTAGCCTAAATGGAGAGAAACTTGAGGCAATCCCACTAAAATCAGAGATTGGACAAGGCTGTCCACTCTCTCCCTACCTATTCAGTATAGTACTGGAAGTCCTAGCTAGAGCAATTAGACAACGAATAGAAGTTAAAAGGATACAAATAGGAAAGGAAGAAGTCAAAATATCACTATTTGCAAATGATATGATAGTATACTTAAGTGACCCTAAAACATCCACCAGAGAACTCCTAAACCTGATAAACAACTTCAGTATAGTGGCTGGATATAAAATCAACTCAAACAAATCAGTAGCCTTCCTCTCTACTCAAAGGATAAACAGGCTGAGAAAGAAATTAGGGAAATGATATCCTTCACAATAATCACAAATAATATAAAATACTTTGGTATAAATCTAACCAAGCAAGTGAAAGATCTGTATGATAAGAATTTCAAGTCTCTGAGGAAAGAAATTGAAGAAGATCTCAGAAGATGGAAAGATCTCCCATGCTCACGGATTGGCAGGATTAATATAGTAAAAATGGCCATCTTGCCAAAAGTAATCTACAGATACAATGCAACCTTCATTAAAATCCTAACTCAATTCTTCAGAGTTAGAAAGAGAAATTCTCAGTTTCATTTGGAATTAAAAAAAAAAAAAAACAGGATAGTGAGAGCTATTCTCAACAATAAAAGAACTTCTGGGGGAATCACCATCCCTGACCTCAAGCTGTACTACAGAGCAATAGTGATAAAAACTGAATGGTATTGTACAGAGACAGGCAGGAAGATCAATGATATAGAATTGAAGACCCAAAAATGAAACCCATATCTATGGTCACTTGATCTTTGACAAAGAAGCTAAAACCATCCAGTGGAAAAGAGACAGCATTTTCAACAAATGGTGCTGGTTCAACTGGAGCTCAGCATGTAGAAGAATGCAAATTGATCCCTTCTTATCTCCTTGTACAAAGCTCAAGTCCAAGTAGGT